AGGCAAGCAAGCGTAACTCTAACACTGAGATGCTGCAGGAAAGAGAGTGAGATCAACACCCCTGCCCATAACCAACACCAAACATTAGCCAGCCAAAGGCGACAGTCCACAACAAGGGTAGCACTCAGTTTCTCAGTTGTGCTTATCCCCAAAATGTAGATTGGTTTGTCATTTGAAAATCAGTTTAACCCACCATATAACAATGAAAGAGAAAAAAAATATTCTTTAAATGGATACAGAGAAAATATCCATTTATGATTTAAAAAAAAAAAAAGACTGGCACGTAAGAACAGATGGAGATGTCCTGAATCTGATAAAGGATGTCTGCTATTTCACATGGTCACGTGGTCATGATGGTGACCAGGCACTTCACAGGGGACTCTGACAGTGCATGTTAAAGCCCTGGACAGAGCAAAAAGACAAGAAAAAGAAGTAGAAGGTACACAGAAAGAAAAGATAGAAATGAAATTCTCTTTGTTCACAGCCAATCAGATCATGAATGTAGAAATCTGAGAAACGACTGTGAGAACTTACAAGTAAGTCCAGCCAGGTCACACAAAAAAAGCAAATACAAAAATTGGCTTTGCTTTTATACATGAGCAACAAGTAACTGCAAAATGAAAGTTCCTTTTTTAAAAAAAAATTCCATTTACAACAGCATCAGGAAATCTAAAATCCTGAGGAATACATTAACTAAAAACTGTTAAGACATCGCTGAGAAAAATTAAAGTCCTAAATAAGACGAGTGATAAACCCCATTCACTCAGCGGAGGGCCCAGTGTTATTTAAACGTCGTTCAGATTGATCACTTGAGTCAATGTCTTCCCAGTCATAGTCCCAGCAGACTTTTCTGTAGAAATTGATGAAATTATTCTAGAATTCAGATGAGATTTGCAAAGGACCTAAAAATAGCACTGCACACGATCATCCTCTGAGAACAGAAGTGTTCCAGTGAGCATCTTAAACGTGGCCATTGTACCCAAGGAACTAAATCTTTAGTTTTACTTAATTTTAACAAATTAAATTTAAATCACCATGTTCGTCTAGTGATTTTCTGGATTGGAGTTCAGAGCTGGAACACTGAAAGCCCTCTAGGAAAGAAGGAACACCACTGAGGAATTTACACCCTGACTTCAAACCTTACAACGAAGCCAGAGTAATGAAGTCAGTGTGGTGCTGGCAAGGAAATAGACAAATGGACCAATGGAACACTTGATTTTAAACATCACCAGAGCAATCCAATGGAGAAACAAAAAATCTGGCTATGAGTGTTCCCAGAGCTAATAGACATATCCATATGGGGGAAAAAATCAACCCCCACCTCAAATCATCCACAAAAAGTTCATTTGAGAGGAAGTACAGACCTACAGGTTAAAAAAAAGTGGTAATTACTTTAAAAGAAATCAGAATATCTTTGTGTCCTGAAGACGGAGGAAAGCTTTGGGGCTGGGTGTTTCTGTGTTGACACGGGGGAGGGTTCATGGTGAACCTAAGATGGTGGGTTTCTCAGCATGTGGAATTAGAAGAACACATCCTGAAGGGTTTCAGAGCCAAGTGTACGGGTGTCTTTAGTAGGCATAAAAAACGTGATGTCACGGGTGTCAGTGGCTCACTCCTGTCATCCCAGCTAATCTGGGAGGCTGAGATCAGGAGGATCATGGTTTGAGGCCAGCCCAAGCAAACAATTCAGGAGACCCCCATCTCTAAAATAACCAGAGCGAAATGAACTGGAGGTGTGACTGAAGAAGTAGAACACCTGCTCTGCAAGCATGAAGCCCTGAGTTCAAATCCCAGTGCCACCAAAAAAATGTGGTGGTGGACAAAATGAGGTAAAGCAAGTGTAGCACATTGTCCATTGTAGGACCCAGCTGGCAGGGGTACGGATGTTGACATGTTGACAGTTCTTGCAACTTTATGTGTGTCTGAACAAAGAAGGAAGCAGCACTGGTGAGCAAAAGCAGGCTCAGAAGAGTTAGAAGTCAGGGGATGGAGAAGAAAGCCACTGTGAGACACACTACTCCCCACCAGAGTGGCTGCTGCTAATGTCACATGGAGACCGGGAGAGGCAGCAGCAGGAGCTCGGGTACACGGCCCAAGCAAGTCCAACTGGCCCAGAATGTGTGACAGTGTGACAGCATTAAACATCACCTTACCTCCCAACACAGCAGACCTGCTCCTGGGTGTTACCCAGGAGCAATGCAAACCGATGTCACGAGAAGACTTCCTCCGGCATGTTCCTAGCAACTAGATTCACATTTGTTCAAACCAGAACTGGGCATCAGTGTGGCAGATCCGAGGAATAGATCCTTAATCAGTGAGAAAGGTCACAAAGTGCTGACAGTGTGCGTGCATCTCACAAACGCAAGGCTGAACTTTTACCAGAGCTCCCTGAGCCCGTCCACGTGAAGGTGCAGGACGGTCGGAGCTGGTCTCTGGCACAGAAATTACAACAGTGGTCCCCCCCCCGCAGGGGTGGGAGAGGCTGACAGGCAGGAGGCGCGAGGGGATCTTCCCGGTGATGGAAATAGTCATATTTTGATTTAGTGACATGGCTGCATGCATTTGTCACATCATATTGAAATATACATTTAAATTCTGGTATTCCACGGTATCTAAATTCCACCTTATTTTTAAAGAAATATACACGATATATACATATCATCAACCAGGGAGGAACAGCGGGTAGAAGTTTATATACCTCCATAAACCAGAATACTGCAAAATCTTTAAATATCTTATTTTTAAATAACATTTTAACGACACGGTAAGCGTGTGTCATATTAGGTCAAGTTCACAATGGATAGTGTGTATGCAATATAGCCCAGACTGAGCAACTATGTTCCTGAGTCCAAGACCTATTGATTTTCAGGCTAACTTTTCCTTTCAGGACCACAGTCTGACTTGGAGGCAGAGGCTGCTCCAGCCCCCAGCAGGCCTCTCTCACACACAGCCCCTGCAGCCTCCCCAGCCTGGGCCTGAACCACCACCCTCCTTCCCTCTCCGACCCTGTATGACGGGCACATAGGCTCCTTCTTCTCCTCCACGAGATGAGTTCTCCACAAGGGCAAAGCCTGCCCTGGTCATCACTGTCCCTCTGCTTCCAGAAGGGCCCCTGGCACCCAGCAGGGGTACAGTGAACAGTGTCTCTGCGGCTGTTTTTCTCACTCAGATCTGAAATTTCTTCCAAACGCTCCAGGCAGCTGGCTTGCCACAGACGGCATCGCTCTGACACGGCCTTGCTGCCCTGAGAGCTCCTTCTGCAGCGAGTACACCGGTGTCTTCTCTGCCTCTCCTTGTGACTGATCTAGAGCTGTTTTGTTTTCCACAACTTAAATGAATTATGTGTAGCTGGTTCCTGAGGACTCTTGTCTTGCTGGGAGTATAAATAGAAGCAATTTCATCTCCTGCCAACCCCAGTCCAAATGGAGTTTGCTGAACCTCTTTTCTGCGAGGTAGAGCCGGCAGATTCCAAGGTTCCTTGTCACATTCATCTTTCGAATGACCTCTTGGTGTTTAAGATGAAGCCCTGTTTATTTACAAGAAACGTTCAGCTCAAACGCAATCGGGGTTGTGACTGGAGCTCTGGGGGCCTCTCCGACCTCCTCAGGCCCCTCCTGATGCGACTTCCCTTTGCCTGGCCAGACCATGTGTGTCCAGGGGTGGGGGCAGCTCTGAGGAAGAGGGCAAGGGCAAGGGTCCCTGGCAAGGTGGGAGTCTCTGCTGCCATCCCCTGCTGCTCTCTGAGTGTGCCACTGGCACCTCAGGCCTTCAAGACCTACAGGTCCCTGACGTTGTCTGGCCACCCCAGTGCTCTGACACATGGTTTCTCATGTATCCCACCATGGGGGTCCTGCGACTCAGTGGCTCCCATCTCTGAGGGGTAGGGGGTTCGTACATGCTGGGAACTGGAAAGTAGTGCGGACAGTGACAATCCCCCTCCTCCAATTTGCCCCCTGATCATAGGACAAAGGTTACTGGCCAACTAGACATCCAGTAAGGAACCCAAACACCCTTGTCCCCTTATTAGAAGTGACTTCCACCTGTGTGTGTGTGGGGGGGGGTGCAAACAGTGCTCATCTCACCATGTTGGGGGGTGGGGAAGGAGATGACACTCCACCATAGGCTTCCATGAAGAAGTGTATAGGGACCCTACCTGGCACTTACTGCTTCCTGGGGGGGGAGGGGACGTGGAGGTTTCTGCTTCACTGGCTGCTCTCCTCCAGTAAGTCAAGGGCCCAGGTCCCTCCACTTCAAGGCCTACAAGGGCATAAATCAAGGTGGTGGGAGGGCAAGGAGTACAGAGGACCCACACCAATGTTCTGTTGGTTAAGATCAGTCATCTAGCCACGGCTAGTTGTAAGGAATGCTGGGAAATGTAGTCTAGCTTTTTGCCCTGGAAGAAAACAGAACAGGTTTGGTAAAGGACCTGCTGGGCTGTGCAACATTTTGGTTCTGGCAAAGTGGTCTATCAGTGAACCCCATTCCAGTATAGGAGCAGATGTGACAGCTCTCCAAGCTTAAGTACAGCTCATTACTGCATTCCATTCTCAGCAGCCTGTTAGAGGTGGGCCTCAGCAGGTGTGTGCCTGGACACCTCTTGCGGGTTCCATGCAGTCATTGGACTTTCTGCTTCTTGAGAACACTGCGGCCTGTCTAGAGAGCTGGCAATTTCTCCTGGCTTCCTGGTGTTTGGGGGGGGGAGTCACCATCAGGATTCTGTGACTACTGGAACCTTTGGAATCTGGGTTTCACAGCTATATTCAGAAGTTCTGGAACATAGGAAGGACGATTGAAAGAAGATTTAGACCCCAGAGCTAAGTTTGTGACAATCAGTTGTCTGGGGTGGAGGGAGGGCAAGAGGGAGGCCATCTTGCACTGGCAACAGGACAGGGGTCGTGCAGGGGATGCCTGCTGGCCTCTGTCAATGTGCTAAGAGGAGAAAATAAAATTACAAAACGTTACAAAGTCATAGAAAATGCCATGCTTTGCAAGAGGTGAATTTTATGAAAAATCCAAACGAATCAACTTTGAATTTGTAAAAAACATTGAGCTTCCAGTGTAATGAGAAAGCCAGCAGAGAAAGCCAGCTTCCCAACACGCAGGAGCTGCTCAAGAGCTGAGAGATCTCAGGTGGGGGTAGGTGGATGATCTGAGGGTAGGAAGATCCAGCCAAAGGGGAAAGTGCACAGCACCTCTGCTGTGGTTTGTGCCACCCCAAAAGCTCATGCGTTGGAAACCCCCAAATTCTTACTAGAATTGGGAAGTGGGGCCTTTGGGAGGTATTTAGGAGTAGATGGGGTCATGAAAGTGGGGCTCTATTATGACATTAGTGGCCTTGTAAAAGGAAGAGACCCAAGCTTGTATCTTGCTCTGTCTCTCCACGCAATGCCCTCTACCATGCTGTGATGCAACAGGCAGCCCTCACCAGGTGCTTAGAGCCAGGCTTAGACTTCCAACCTCCAGAACCATGAAGATAGATAAACCTCTGTCCATTATTACAAAGTGTACGATATTCTGTTATAGCCACAAAAAACAGACCAAGACAGCATCTGAACATACAGCCACAACAAAACAGCACACGGCATGCTGAATCGGGGGTCCATGGGCCTGCCTGTGTGCATTCATAGCAATGACAGAGCCGGGCATGGTGGTGCACAGCTGTAATGCCAGCAAGGATCACAAGTTCCAGGCCAACATGGTCTACAGAGCAAGACCCCTGCCAAAAAAAAAACCTAGCAGTGACAGTCAGCTTGGGAAACCATCTTGCACTGGCAACAGGACAGGGGTCGTGCAGAGGATGCCTGCTGGCTTCTGTCAATGTGCTAAGAGGAGAAAATAAAATTACAAAACATTACAAAGTCATAGAAAATGCCATGCTTTGCAAGAGATGTGAATTTTATGAAAAATCCAAACGAATCAACTTTGAATTTGTAAAAAACATTGAGCTTCCAGTGTAATGTTTCTAGTCAGGGCTGCTATCACAAGGTGGCCAAAATGACACTCATTTGTCATGGTCCTGAGGCTGGGAGGTGCAGTACACAGGCGCTGGCTCAGTCATTGTCTGGTGACAGCCTGTTTCCAGGTTGCAGATGGCCAGCTGGCTATCTCTTTGTTGTGTCCATTCACAAGGCTCCACTGTTTGACCTCATCACTTCCCGAGGCCCCCCACTGCCCAACACTATTAGAATTTGAACATGTGGGGGCTAGGGATATAGTTAGCCATCACAGCTAACAGGAATTTACAACAGCGTATAGCTCAACATTCCTAATATATTCAATGAGTAACCTATTTGCAGGAAAAAAAAAACCCCTCTGCCCTGCAAGGGCAGGTGGCCCTGAGGAACTGGAAATGCCACTGATGTCTGTGGGATCAACTGAGACAGCCTAACCTCTACATGTCCACAGAGTGGTCAGAGAAAAGCAGGATGGGGACCACCCTTCCCTGCCTCTCAGCAGCACCCTCAGTTGACACAAAGGGCACTGTGGATCCTGACAGCACATCCTGTTGACAATAGAAAAACATTCCAGGATGGGGCTGCAGGAGCATTTACCATCCCAAAAACCATAAGCAAGTTAAATTTCCGAAGGAAAGGACCGTTGTGGCAAATCCAGAGATTTGTGGGCTTGGGGACCTTGTCTGCCTGTGTATAGCTGCTCCGGGGTGGCCTGTGTGACGTGGGTAATGTACCCTCCACTGCTCAGCCATGGCACCTGCCCTGAAGAGGTCAGGTACTGGGTTAGGTACACAGAGCACCATCTGGTGGGAGAGACCAAAAAGGTCAGTGACAACATAAGGTGACAACTTTTAATAGGTGTGAGCTTAGTGGGGGAGGGGGCAAGGGGACAGTGATCAGAGTTTCTAAGGCAAGCAGTGCCAGCTCGTCTCAGCATCACTGAGGGGGAGCAGGAGTCAGCCGCAGACCAGCCTTCCAGGCCTGAGAGGGCAGTGAAACAAAGCAGCTCTGAGGACTGTGTGGAGACACACTGGAGGCCCTGGTAACAAGGCAGGTGCTGGGTGGAGACCGGTGAAGGCAACACCCAGACTTCTGGCCTACAGACGGCATGGGCAGATGGGAGCCTTTGGGCCACCAAAGGGCCAGGAGTCCACCAGGTCAGGTACACCAAGTCCAGAGGAGGAGCACATATTATAGTCACTAGGGAAGAGGCCAGTGGATGGGTCAGGGCCTGCAGCTCCATACTTCCGGTCAGGTGTGGGTGTGTGTGTCCCAGGTGGGCACTGTGCACACTCACCTTGGGCACAGCAGGGCAACAGGTGAGCTGCCAGGACACACACGTTTACCACCAGTCCCACCTGGCAGTAGTTACAGGACATGCATTGTGGAAATCAGGGCTGGACCTTCTGCCCGCTGGAGGAAAGGGCACCCAGCCTTTGACAGCAGGGTTTCTGGGGGCTGCCCTGACTCTACAGGAACTCGCCAGAGCTATGATGCTTTTCCAAGCTCTGTACCTGCTACTGGGATTTCCAGACTTCATTGGACTTCCTTGTTTTAGTCATCTTGTGCGAGAACAGCTGAGAAAATCTGGTGGGGGAGGGGGAACCTGAGCAGATCTGAGCATAAATAATAAAACCCAAACTAGGGGGCACTGGGCAAAATGAACAGATCCACTGAAGAGACAGAAAGTGGGTCTCTGATCCATGAGGTTCCACGTGACCCAAGAAGGAAAGAACATGCATGAGGGAGAGAAAGACCTGAATATATGATGTCGATGTCGGGGTATTTAAATCTTTGAAAGGCCATTCAGAACCTCATCTTGCATTTCATGCAAATTAATTCCAGAAATAACTGTTTATTGAGAGAGAAAAAAGACCCAAAGTTTAAAGCAGTGAAAGAAACCACATAGGCCACATGGGATGCAGACCAGAGCTTAGGCGGGGCAAGGCCCTTTTCTGGGCTGTGACCTAAAACTGTTTCAAATAATACTACAAAATGTCGTGTACCTCTCCCACTGTTCTCACGAGGGCACCATGGAATTTTTCAGAGGCTTTAGGACACATGGTCTTGCCAAAGAAAGTACAGAAGCAGTTCTGAGACCTCAGCTGCCTTCTAGTAAAGTCAGACATGGAACTTTGTAAAAATGTCAAACAATGCCACTCTTCTTCACCGATGTATTGTTTGTCTTGGAAAATGCAGTTTTCATTAAAATGTGATGTTTATGTTGACATGCCATGAGTTTCATCCTATTTTTAAATTAATATTTTTAAACTTTATAACATGGCAATAAAACCTCTCTAGGCAAAAACTCCTTGGGGTCCTCAATGACTAAGAAGGCAGAGATCCTATGCCCCACAAGTATGAGAACTGCTCCTGGGCCACAAACACGGTAGCAGGGACCATCCCTTTAACCACCTGCAGACCCCAAGGCCTGTCTCACGCTTGTGCAAACGATGTGACAAATGTCCCCCAGGTGTTGCTGAAGTGCTAGGATGCAGCTGCGAACAACAGACAAAACACAACTGTCTGCTTCACCTCATAGCCTAGTAGACACTGTGCTAGAGAGGGACTGACTGACTGCATATGTCAAGATCTCAGTAAGTTAAAATATACCCACAAAGTAAGAACCTGGAAACATCTGCAGCAATGACACACACCAGGTTAGTATCTTTAATACGGAAAGAACTCATACAAATCGATCAGACCCCCATCAATAGAGCAGAGTCCACAAAAGAAGAAATACAGTTGTTCAGTGTGAAAAGGTATCCAACTGAGCTAAAACCCAAAGAAATGCAGACTAAAGCACTGCCGTTTTTTCGTTATGAAATTAGCAAACATTAGTGCGATGGTAAGGCCCAGGAGCAGAGGGGCACGCTCACCCTTGCTGGTGGCAGGGTAAACGGACACAGAGATTTCTGGAAATCATTTTGTCAGTAGGTAATAAAAACCTCAAAGGTCTTCACAGTCTTTAATTCAATAAACCCACCTCTGGGAATCGACCCCAAGGAAATAACTTGACATTGGTGGGAGGGGAGCACAGAAAAACAAAAACCTCTGCACAGATATTCATCAGCTTTTAACAGTGAAACTTCTAACAGCATTGACGCCACTTGGCATTGCTGTCCCTCTGCCAGGTGGAAGAGTTCACGGCTATTTCAAAGTAAAGAAGTGACAGCACGGGGGATGCCTGGGATGTGTTCAGTGGACAGTCATACCACAGAGCTACCAAAGGCAGTGTTCCAACTACAGAAAACGTAAAGAAAATGGGGGGTAGGGGGCACCTTTTCTCTCCTTGATTTCCAAAATTTCTGTAACATACATTAATGAGGCCAAGGGGGCAAGAAGGTGTTAGTACCATTAAGTGAGGAGCTGGTCTCCTCCCCTCTGTTCTACCTTTTCTGTGCTGGGCCAGCTGCCACCAAATCCAACATCAGGTCTGGGAGAGATAAGTGAGGGTGGCAGCTCCCAGCACCCTGAGGAAGGGGAACTGCAGCACTCCCTCCCCCACCTCCCCAATTCTTGCTTCCTCCCCCAGAAGCCCCATCCTATGGGGCTTAGCAAACACTCACCAAGCAGAGGGAAACTGAGTCTTACCTCTAAGCTGGAGGACAGAGGCCTCTGCCCTCTGCCCTCAAAGCTCTTCCTCAGAGGGTCCTTTGCAGTGTGACCCCGGCTTGCTGCTAGGTCAACTTCAGCCCATGCCAGCTTCTCATGCCATGCTGGATCAGCGGTGACTATCCTCAAGACAGCAGGCATGTGAGCCAGGGCAGTCCTTTGGCACCACCACAGAGTATTTTCAAACCTCATCACATACTCACCTGTGGCCAACGCAACGTGTCTTGGCTGTTTCCTAGAAGTCACCGAAATGCTTTAGGACATGAAGTTCTGCCAGGTCACACTACACACGAAACCTGGAGTCACCACTCTGCCAAACCCCATCTCCAAGTATACCCTACAATACAATGAAGCTTACTTACCAGACGAGGTACGTGTAGACCAGAGGGTGGTCACAATGTCTCAACAGCGATGAGACATGTAAAACTCCTCCACGTGCACTGATTAACGCCACTGCTTGTCCCTGTCATGTCCTGCTCTCTTAAAATTTAGACAAATTATAACCCCAAAATATTTACAAAGCACCTTCCTTCCCCACTTTCCCCCTCAGCTTGGACCCCAGTCTCTGTGTTCTCCCTCTGAGGCTACATGGGCCTTGGGTTTCATCCTCTGGCTGAGGACTAAGATGTCCCTAGAGCCACGATGGGCTCTTTAGCACCTCCAAGCAATCTTCTTCCAAGTCCAAGGTGGAGGGCAAGCCCTGACCCTCTCTCATCTGCTCCAGGTTCCAAGTTGCAGGGAGCTATCGAGAAGGTCCTACACACAAGACAGCACTGACTCAAGCCCACAGAAGAAAGCACCAAGGACAAACAACAAACAAATCACGAGACACAACAGGACAGCAGCTCCACTAGGCAGGACCACCCAGATGCAAAAGGCCAGGCAGCACATGTGGAGGGGGAAGTAGCCAGCCTTCCAGATTCTGAAGCACAGCACCTTAGGCAAACAGTACTGTCACAGAGCCACCTGGGCAGCCAGAGCAGGGGGCATGACAGATACACTCTCCTTTCATGGTCTCCTCCCCTGGCCAGGCTGACCACGTGGAAATCTTCCTTCCAGTATCTCTTCCCCATCAGGCCCCCATTTCCCTAGGAGCTGCTATATGTTCTCCTAGGTACACCTCTACCTGGCAGGCACAGGTCCTAACAATACAGCTGCTGGAGTCAGAACAGGGAGGGATCTGTGCATCTCTCATTAGCGCCCCCACCCAGGGACGCCCACTGGGAGTGTGCTCTCTGTGCCTGCTCAGTGAGCACCATGGTCCCAATGGAATGGCCTAGGCCGATCCAGAAGACCTGAGGCCTGTGTCCAGGCCATTATTCAGCAGGGCAACTGGGCTAACAGAGTTTACAATGAGCAGGTGCTATGGTCTGCGAATCCCAGCAGCCACTGGATACCCCTGACTTTGCAAGGTGGCAGTTGCTTCAGATCGCAGTCCCTTTCCCAGCAGCATCAAAACTCTCTGGGTGAGAGGATGGGTCCCAGGGCCATGGCATGGCCGTCTTTGGGTGGACACAAGGCAGTCCTTCTGTAGTTAAGCCAAGACTACTCAGACAAGGGCAGGAGAACCCAGGGAAGACACCCCATCTCCCCAGTCCAGGTGGTCTTGTACATGCGGTTCTTTTGGCATTGAAATATGGCAGGATGTCACAGTTCAAAGGGCTTGGTCACAGAATATGATTTCTTGGTTATCTCTCTGAGGAAGCCAAGACTGTCCACTCTGAGGTACACCTCTGTTCAGAATCAGAACATCGGCCAGTTCTGCACCGTCTCCACATTAGAACCAAGGCAGTCCATGTCTTTGCTTTACAAAGGGCACCCAGACCCTGGTGGGGACAGCCAGAGGTAGATAATGCTGCCTTAATGCTGTCTCCAAGAGAAGCTGGTCTCCAGTTATGACAGTCTTGGACAAAGGCTAGACATAATGGCCAAGGTCCAGTGAGGGCAGGCCACAGGCATCTTTGGGGACTAGAGATGGTGTGGGTGGCTGAAAGACTGAGACAAAGGCCACATGGCACTTGGATGGAGAAGGGAAGGGTCTGGAGCTAGGTGGGGCCCACCCCAGAGCAACATGGGCAGAGGGATGACTGGACACTAGCAACTTATGAGCCTTCCACAGAGATCTCAGGCAGTAAACAGGGTCACTAGTGTCCCTCCCTCAAGCTTGCCATGTCTCTTGGTATAGACATCACAAATCCATCAGGAGCAGCCTGATGGAACTGCCCAGGGTGTCAGGTCCACAATGACCTTGTTTACCAAGCAAATTCCTGAGTCCCCCAACTCCTGGTGCTGTCAGAACTCTGGAAGTAAAAGACAGGCATGAACAGAAGGGTGTCCTCTGGGAGACAGTTCTTTGCTGCAGTCATGGGGCATACTGGACTGTGTAGGGGTGGAGAGACGCCTCTCCCAACAATCCTACAACCACACTTAGCAATCACTTGGTCACTGACAGCAGGAAGGAGGCCCAGCCTGCTCCACTGGCCTTGGTAGGGCTGGTGACCAGCTGTGGGCGGGTCAAGCCACCACCTGGCCAAACTGGCTTCTTTCCATCCAGAGCTCCTCAGTGAGAGGAGGGCGACCAGGCAGGGAGCTGTGGCCGGCTCTTGCAGCAGAGTGTGCCGCAGAAGCATCCGTGGATGGGGCTGAACTGGAAGGGATGGCACAATGGTCTCTGGGCGTGCTGTGGGGTGGGTGTGCCTGAGTGGCAGAGTTGTGATCACTGGCATAGCTGGGGTTGCAAGCAACAGAGAGGGAGGCATGCACCAAGTTGTGGGTACAGAGCTAGCGCGTAATAGGAAGCACAGCAAGGTGGGTACCAGGGCACCCAAGGGTCGCAGGAAGACCTCCTATGGAACAAGAGTGGCAGGAAGGGAAGTTTCTAACAAGGCGATGCTGTTAAATGGATATTTCTTCTCCGCAGCAAAGAGTCTATGCTATCTGCATGGCTGCAGATGCTACCAGGGTGGAGGTGAACCCTAAAGGTTCCGTGCTCGGGTGGGAAGAGCTGGCGCTGGACTGGTCCCGTTGGAGGCTGGATGCACTGGACAGGGCCCTGGGCCGGCGGCCGCCAGCTGGCGGCACAGCATCTGCCGCTCTCGCACAGCCCTATTGGAGGCGGAAGTCTTCCTGATCTGGGCGCGCCGCGCATGTCGCAGCGGGGACTTGTAGGTTCTACGCAACTCTGCCAGGAAGCCCTGGTAGTTGTTTCGCAAGGGGCTATCAGGCTGCATGTGGGGGATGGCCCACTTCTCTGCTTCCCCAGTTAGTCGGGACACAAGAAAGGCAACTCGCTCAGCCTCACCCGGGAAGCGGGAGGCCTGGAAGATCATGAATCTGTCCATCTGCATCAGGAACCCTGCCAACTGGCCGGGGTCTCCCGAGAAGGGCTCGGGCAGAGAGGTTGGAGGTGTGGTCATGGGTCGAGTTCCATTGGAGGTGATGGCAGAGATGGGTGGGGTGATTTGCAGAGCTCCCGGGATGCGTGCCCTGGTGCGCAGCAAGGTCAGCTCGGCCATCACGCTCTCCAGCATGTTGGTGAGGTTGGCCTTCTCGGCCCGCAGTGTGGAGGCCTCGCGCCTCAGCGCAGAGTTGGTGAGGCGCAGGGAGGTCAGGGTGTCGATCACGTCATCCATCTGGGCGTTCGCAGCGGATGCCGAGGCCGGGCTTTCGGCTTTGGAGGTCTGCGGTTGGACCATGCTGGCCGGTCAGCACGGGCAGCAGGGGCTCCGGAGCACCAGGACGCGGGGCCTTGGATGCTGAGCAGGGCGGGCCCAGTCAGAAGTCAGGGCAGGGCGGGTGCAGGACAGATGGGATGCAGGGCAGGCGGGGCTCAGGCCTCAGGATGTCGGCCTGGTTTGGGATGCGGCTCCTTGTGCAGGCCTCACCGGGCAGCTGGCCTCCAGGCCGGGCTGTTCTGGCGCTAAAGGATTAAGAGGATGTATTTACAGTTCCGATCGCGGAAGCGCGGGGTCGGGGCGGCTCGGTCCGCAGGAGTCCCCCGCGCCCACCTGGGGGAGAACAAAGGGGGCTGCACCTGCGGCTGCCGGGCCCCGGCGCTGCGACAATGATCGGGCTGGGAGTGGGGAGGTGGCGGGCGCGTACCTGGGGTCTCCGCGGCTTCTTCCGCGGCTCGGTCAGCCGCACTGGCCGCACCAAGATGGCCCGCTCGGGGGGAACGCGACCGGGCGGATGAGTCACCGCGGCGGCCGGCCGGAACTGCTTCCCGGTCAGCGCGGCGGCGAGCGCGACAGGCGGCCTCCAGCAGGTGCAGCGCCGGCCGGGGGGGCGGGGCCGGGTCGCGGCGGAGGGCGGTCAAGGCGCGGCCTTTGTGCGGGCGGGGCTGGCGCAGCGGCGGCGGGGACCAGGGGACCACGCACGGGCCGCGCTGGTTGCCATGGAGACCGCCCGTCCTACGAGCGCGCGCCGGCAGCCGACGTCCCGCCCCCGGAAGTGACGTCGCGGATCCGCCTCCCGGGCCTCGGCTCCTTGACCTTCCTCAGCAGCCAATCAGCGATGAATGTGGTTACTGCTGGTTTATTATCGCGATGGGTGTCCTGGGTTTTCTCCTTCATTCTTTCCAAGAGTGCTTGCAGAGTTTCCTGTAGTCATTGCATTTAGTTTTTAAATGAACTTGACTTTTATTATTGTGACTTGAATGTAAATTCAGTTTAGTAAATCTTCAGAAGTCTAAAAACACCTTTCATTTCTTAGTGACCTTCTACCTAGAGAGAGCACGGTAGTACCGTTTTAATATCTCAATCCAGTCATTTTATGATTTATTCTATTACAGAATATTCACCTTTGACATTATGAGCTATTTTATAACCCTAATGGCACGTTGAGTTTTGAGATCTTCCCACTGAAGATAGTTCAGAAACACTATTTTCAGCTATTGCCTGTGGGCCACCTTTTATTCAGCCATGCATGCCCTTTTGATAGTTCTTCATCTTATTTTCATGAACCACCCTTGCTGGTAAGTCCCAGCCTCTTTCTTTGCCAGGTTCCCCCAGGGCAAATGCCAAGGTGTGAAATTACCTGAAAAGGTGTAAATTATTTGACTGGAGATTTGGATAAGCTACTTGTGAGTGGTCAATTCCACACTGGGGTGTGGCTGGAGAGAAAAGACTGTCCATGCCAGTCTTTCTAGATAGCAGTCTAAAAAGGTGGAGCTGTGGCAGCCTCCTGAACTAAGTAGGCAGGCCTGGAGTGGAGTTGGATTCACTCACACCTATAGTTTTCACTCCACAGTAGGAATTAGGGCACAAGGGTGTCAGTACTTGGAAAGAACACTAGTGTGCCAAACTGCACATTTGTCTCCTTCAACTGTTTCTATGAGATCTCCCAAATCAGATGGAGGCCGGAGCTGCATTAACCTTGACTCAGGTCAACAACTTCAAAGGCAGAAATTGGCCTGGACCTCTGTACTCCTCTCAATTCTTCCAAACGCATGCGGGAATCCCCATCCACTCCTGTGAACCACCACATTGGTTTCTCTGCCCTCCCTAGGTCCCTGGGTGAGGGCCACATGAGTGAGGTGTCTGCTGCAGCTTCGTGTGTGGTTGACACTGTAAATCGTAAATTCCCAGAAGCACTGAATATAAGGTGCACCCTGAATTCAGAAACACAGAACATGAAAATTGAAGAAAATAAATTGCCATTTAGTTGTATCTCACCTTATTTCAAATAGGATTTAAGTTGATTACCCATATAAACAAAGCAAAATTAAATTTTAAAACTTGCAAAAGCAAGAAAAATAGGAAAAAGTCCTATCTGGTCTAGATGTTGCCATGATTTATGTTCGAGGTACCTGAGTTGCTGGGGCCACAGAACCACGTACCAAACTGAGAAAATACAGAATGGACATGACTGTCCTGGAGACAAGCTTCACTGTGGTCTGCAGATGAACTGTTGAATATTGCAGGGCTACAGACCTTTTGGGCTCCTGGTCCCGAGGCATAACAGGGACATGGAGTGAACAGAGTCAGGCTTCCCATTTGAAGCTAAAGACCAGGGGATAGAAGAGTTACTCCAGGTCAAGAAATCTGATTTTGTCTGTTCTTATGACAGCTTATGTGAAGATATGGAACAGAGGAGAACACAGACGTGGTCTTATGCCTTTCCTGGCCTGCATCAGTGTTCACACTATGGAGGGTCGTGGTTCTGAACCACCAATAACAAAACGTGTTTCTGTACTGCAGACCAGATATCAAGTGGGACCGTCCCAAACTGCTGGATGTGGAGGTGGTAGAAAGAGAGAGAGAAGAGACAGTGACAGAGAGCCTTTACCCCCTACATGAGCCTGAAAACCAAAGCTCTGAAGCCCATGAAGACTTCTAAAGCTATGAGTTAATAGCCAAAAAATCAATAATCATAATAGGAGTTAACTCCAGATGAAATTAAAATAATAGAACAGTCTTAAGTCTTTAAGCCCATGTGGGATGCTCAGTGAGAATAATGAAGTAATGATATTTGTGAGAAGAACAGATAATGTTCAACTAGATGAGCTAGTTGTAAAAAAGACAATATGGCTGACTTTTGTTTCTAGAAAGATGGAATAATGCCACTCTTCCTTGGTCTTTCCATACAATGCAACTAGAAACAATTTTTAAAAACAACAACAAACACCCCCACAAGACTAACAGGTGAAGAGAAGAAGGCAGGCTGGCTAGGGAGGTCAGGACCCAAAGAGTATTAGGGCAGTGAGTTTCCTGGGTTTTCTTTTTCCTCACTCACCCCAGGCTTGGACGGAAAGAAGCTAGCAACCCAGATTTGCCAATGGATGCAAACCAGAAGAGCTGTCATGCTCCCCCACAACACACACACACACAAAGCCAGGTCTCTTTGGCCAAAAGAACAGAAAAGAGGCACCCTGGAAAGACAGAAAGACCACTTCGGCCAAACACTGGGACACTCCTCAGATTTATCCACTTCCAACACAGTCTGTGTCATTCTCCTTTTTGTAGTAACTAACATGACAAATCTAAAATTTGTATGGAAATTCTAATGACCTGAAATAGTCAGGACTGTCTTTAAAGAGAACTAAGTTGGAGGGTTCATACTTCACAGCTTCAAATTTTATCTATAAAGCCACAGTAAACAAGGCTGTGGGGTCCTGGAATAGAGTTTCAAGAAGGGCACCATGACAATTCAGTGAGGAATGAATAGTCTTTTCTGAAACTAGGTATCCACGGCAAAAGTATGTTTGCGTAAATTAGACCCTTACCTCACACCAAACACAAAACTAGCTGAAAATGGACCAAAGACCTAAAGGTAAGAGCTAAAGCTATAAAACTCTTAGAAGGAAACCCAGAGGTAAATCTTTGTGACTGTGGAATGAGCAGTGTTTCCTAAGATATAACACAAAAGTACAAGTGGCATAAATTGGATAGCAGTAAAGTTTTAAAACTTTCATATTTCAGCGAATACGATCAAGAAATGGAAAAGGTACCCAACACACAAAATGGGAGAAAATATTTGTAAACAATATGTTTGATGAGGGTCTAATGTCTAGATATGTAAAGAACTCGATAATAAAATCAAATAACCCAATTTTAAAAAGAAGGGAAAGATATGAATAGATATTTCTCCAAAGAAGATTTACGAATGACCAATAAGCACATGAAAAGATGTTTCCTGTTCACCATCAGCTGGGCTTGGTGGTGCCTGCCTGTAATCCCAGTACTCAAGAGTTAAAAAAGGAACCAACCCACACGTCCATCAGTAAATAAATGGATCAATGAATTGTATCCTTAAGAGCGTAAAATATTAATCAGCTGTTTAAGAAGAAATAATAGTGTGTGCTACAACATGGGTGACCCTTGAAAGCACAATGCTAAGTCAAAGAAGCCAGGTACAAAAGCCACATACTGGGTGACAGTCATTCACATGAAATGTCCCAGATAGGCAAATCCCTAGACAGGTGGTGGAGTGGGAGTTGCCAGGGTCTGGGGAGAGAAGGGAGGGAGAATGGCGGCCGGTGGGTGCAGGCTTCTTTCTTCAATGATGAGTGTTCTGGAATTAGTGTTGATGGCTGAACAACATTGCGAATACACTAAAAATGACTTCTTTTAAAATTCTGTGGTCTGTGAAGTATCTCTTAAGTCAATGGTCATTATGTTGAAACTCACAGAAAAGTGGGAATAACAAAACAAAACAAACGCATAAATATCCTGACTCAAATATCTCCACGCCAGCCATTTTGCCTCCATTCAGGGTAATTTTATTCAATCAATATTTTTATAAGCCAAAATTTATTATTCTTTTGAATGTTTCATCAAATCCAAATGCCTTGAAATACTAGTCTCCTTAATTTCCTTCCACTCCAGTGCAAAATAGAAGTTTTTCCAGTTGAAAGTAGGAATCATATCAAAAGACCCTCGCCACCCACGTGTTGACATACCCCAGAACAATGGCGGAATTGAAAAAGGGCCCTCGCCCAGCTCTGGGTGCTCAGCACTTAATTTCTTCGTCTCCTCCCTGGCTCTGTGGGGAAAGATCACAGTGTTTCTTGGTTGGCAAGGACTGCTCCAATAATTACGCTCTGCGGGCCCCACAAAACCCCACGCTCTTGGCACTCATTTATTGAGCACTTTGATTAAAGACTTCCCACGGATTTGGAACACGAAGTGACAAAGATCCAGAGGACTCCTTTACAAAAAGTTTAATGCCACATTAGGACGCTGGGTTGATGTACAAGTCGTTCTTCAAGGTCCCAGCGTGCTGAGGATCTGGCTAGTGACCCAAGAAAAGCAGAAAGCACATCTTCCAGCCTGGGGTCCGTTTTATAGTTGACACTGACTTTGCTGTGAAAGTGTTTGCAGCCAGTTTCCCTACCAGTACTGAGCAGGATACCCACACCATTGACAGTAAATATTAATAAAATGTCAGAGATTGTTTGAACGTGAATATAAATAACGGGTTTACCTCAGTCCTCAGCCATTGCCAAGCACGTCGGTGCTTCATGGGGTTGTGGTTTTCGTGAGAACCCTGCTTTCTATGTGGATGCTGCTGTAATTGTCTCTGTTGTGAAACTCTCTCCATTTCCTGGGCTGACTATATCATTTGGGTTCTCTTTGGACCAGGCTGGAAAACAGTTTGGCAAGAATTAGAAAGTGGGCACTGCTGAAGGCCCCACCACCAAATCTCAGGCACACATACCCTGTGAAAACCAGGTAAGAATGACCTGTGGGGTTTGTGTCCCAAGGGTGGCATTGGTGGGGGCCACCTCAGGAACCCAGGACA